ACCCCTCCCCACCTCAAGAGCAACCAGCGGGCAACAAGGAAGCATGGCAGGGATGGAAAGGGTAGCACAGCTTCACTGTATGCCCTGCCAGCAGACATTAACATTATTTTTAAAATTATTTTTCCCACTTTGGTCACTTTTTAGGGGAGCAAATCCAACCCCAGCTACATCTGGCCAGTCCAAACTTGCTCCTCTGGCAGAGGGATGAAAGGTTCCATGGAAGGAGCCCAGAGGCAGCAGCTCACCCAGCAGCTGCTGGGGGACAGAATCCATTGCTGCCTGCAGCAGGTGACGAGGAGCATGGGGATTAGTGGCCATCATCAGAGTAATCCCAGCTGGAAGTAGAGCTGCTCTTCACTTTATTACCACGCAAAGATTTCCCTAAAACTAAATACACGCTAAATACTTGTTGTTTAAAAACAACTAAATCCACGCTAAATACTTGTTGTTGTTTAAAACACCACAAAATGCCATTCCCACGGCTTGGTTTTAATATTAGTTACAGGAATGATGTGTTTAAATTAACTAAAAGTGGAAAATTAAAAACCCCAGGCCCTAAAAATACAGGCACAGCAACGCTAAAAATTCCACAGTCTGATAAAAATGTCCCTGGGCAAATCTGGAAGCTATTACCTGCTACTGCATAATTGAAACAAATAATTTCTGGGTTAGAATTAGCCATTACAAGAGCTCTTACTGCAGGAAAATACACAGGAGCAGCAGTTATCCTCTCTGCCTTCTGTCCTCTCCTCTGAGCAAGCTCCCTGCTGCGCAGAGCAGCTGCGTAGGGCACGGAAGGTCAGGCTAAATAACTGCATTCAAAAGTCTGGCCAGGGGGAGACAGGCAAGTGCCTCTTCTGCAGCCCCAAAACTCAGATCTATCACAGCACAGGGTGGCTCCTGCCCCAAATATATCTGCCCCCAGAAAACAGTGTTCCAAAGTGCTTCTGCTGTCCTTCACAAATTCGAACACCCTTTCGGCAGCCAAAGTGAGTAGCTGAGCCCTGCTGCTCCCAGAGTGTGCTCAGGCACCTCAGATCTTTGTAATTTATTTTATTCAAGACAAAATAGATCTTGTTGTTAGCAGCATGCTGAGAACTGCCTCTGTTGAGCTGCAGAATCCTGCTCTAAGGGCAGGGGAAGAAGGAACAGTGGGCGCTGGTGATTTTAGGCTCTGCTGAAACAGTACATGAAGTTTACAGTTATTCCTGGCCAAATCTCTCAATTAGTGACTGTTCTCCAGGTCCAAGTTTCATATAGTATTGCTGGCTGCTGCAACAAGGTGCAAAGTTGACAGGATGACAAAGTAACCGCCGGAGACAGATGGAAACAGTCAGGTGCAGGGTTGGCTCGCGGGTGTCCTGCACACCAAGTCCTCCCAACAGCATCCAGCTCCTCCCTGGAAACCAAGCCCACGTCTGGATGCATCTGTCAGGTCTCCAGCGCCTCAGGTGGCAGCTTCTGTTCGATGTAGCTCTTCTCCTCCACGTGGTTTGTCTGTTCCAGGAGCCACTGTCTCTCCTGGTCACTAATTTCCAGGCTCAGCGTCACCTCTTGGAAAACGCTGTTCACAGAGACCTGTACCACAGGAAAAAAACCCCAGCTCAATCCCAGTCACAGGGCAAAGGCTGCTCATGGCCTCTGGGCAGAAGGTGGACTGTTACCACACCTCCTTAAAATGGAGCTTTTTGAACATGCAGATACTGGCTTCATTTTCCTGACCGATCTTTGCAACAAATTTGGTGAGCCCCAGGTTTCTCACTCCTGAAAAAGAAAAAAACCAAACAAAACCCAACAAAACACCAGAAAGAGAAACATTTCTGCTTGGCTGCCACATCTGCAAAGGCAGAGGCCACCAGTTCCTAGGGCAGATGCACCCCACACTGCCCTCAGTATCACTGGGAATATCTGCTTCCAGATCACACCCTGACTGCACTCCCACGCACCCAGCCACCCTTACCATAGGACAGCATCATCAGAGTTGCCTCCTTGCCAAACCCTCTGCCTCGGTAGCCAGGCTCTGAAAGAGAGAGCCACAGAGTCAGCATCCAGGTATGAGACACAAATCAGCCACGCTGGACACTTTCCAGGAGAGACTGTGGGCCAGCAAAGGACGCAGATACTGAACAGCCATAAAGCAACGAGAACAGAGAGCTGCTGTACGCAACATCTGTCTGCAGCTGGCTTTAGCCACGGTGACAAAGGCTGAAGCTACGAGGCAGAACTTGACCTGCGATCATGATTTCAATCTCGCCCAGGGTGGGATCCTCGGCGTCAGTGAGGAAGAGGTTCACGTCCCCCACCATGCAGTCCTCCTCGGCACGCGCCCGCCCGGCCCACCGCGCCGCGTCCAGCACGATGAAGGTGCACTCTGGGCAAACAGAAACCCAGCAGAATTCTCAGGGCACGCTAAGAATCAGTCACAAATTACCAAAGGATGAAATGAAAGGCGTGCATCGGACAGGAACGACACTTCCCACCTTGCGACAGCGAGGAAGAGCTGATAACAGGGCTTCCCGTGCCACACACGCCTCCCCCCACCCACAGACATGTAAGAAATAGTTTGAAAAACCCGTTGTGAGGGTGACGCAGACACCGAGACCAGAAACTGCCTATTTAAGGAGAGTCAAAACTTCCACCCCGTGTCTGAGGGCTCCCTGCCTCATCTCACACAGCGGCAAGTTCGGGCAAAGAATTGTTTGGTGCACAGGAGACTGAGACCTAGTGATTCAGCCAGTCCATGTTTTTGCTGCTCTGAGCAGAGCTTTTAATGCCAGCTAAAGCAAATGCTCCAGACTGAGGTCTTTGCTAGTCTCACTATTTTCTAGCTCACTACATTTCTACCAGGCTTTTACAGGCAGTGAATCATCACCTGTAGAAGAGCCAGCGAACCAATCCAGGCAACTCACCTCAGCCAGGTAGTTTAAAAATCATTCAATTTCTCCAGGAAAAATACAAACCCCTCCATCTTTTTACAGTGATCAGACCTGGGGAGTGTTGACTGTGCAGCAGCAACTCAGCAGATAATGCTGTGGGAAGTAAACCACTGTAATCTTTAAAAAACTGCATAAAAAGGACACTAATAGCCCTGGGCATTCTCTGCCTCCCTGAGTATTTACCAGCTATAAAGAGCAAGCCAGCTCAAAGTCACTGCTGTACAAAGTCTCACATCCTCTCTGCTTCAGCAAGTAGAGCCCACTTGCCAGGCACTCTCACCCCACTGTGGCCCTTCACAGGACAGAAGGGACCCGCTCAGCACTCCCAGGCACCCTCAGGAGATGTGTAAGACCCTCACTGTCTGCGTCGTCCCTCCAGCTGCGCTGCATCTCGTACTCCTG